GGCCGGGGCCGAGCGCTGTGTATCGGCTTCCACTTGGCTCCTGAATAAACAAAGCGAACATATGTCCCATATTCGTGACAGATGGTTCAAACAGAGAACTATTTAGTGGTTTTCCCACAGTTGCTACTATGTACCACTCCCCCGAAACCCAACAAAATGCAATTAGCCTAAAATAGCTTCAGCTTCCAGATTTCCTTATTTTCATGTGTGGAAAATTTGATTCAGGTGTTTTAATGTTCTGGCTGTGATCAAATGTATTAAGTTGTTTTGGGGTTATTTTTTTTTCTATTTTTAAAAGAAGTCAGCGTATATGTTCCTTGGCAGTTTTGTCAACAAGCTATTTGGTCCATTCGACTCAAGGAATTTGCTTCTCCTTGCAATAAATTTTGCCTAAAGGAGTTTGAGTCGCCTCATGAGATGGGAGATGATCAGGCTGGCCACTTTTATAGCAAAAACTGGATGGCAGATGGAGCTAAACTGTTGAAAGGTACTTCAAAACACTTATTTAAAAGCCTAGCATATGCCAGGATATACTGAGAGTACAACATTCATAGAACCCAAATGGAAAGGGCTTATTTTTGTTTGCTTTGCTGTTCTTTTTTTTTTTTTTTTTCCTCTCTTGCCACTTTTTCTAAACAGATGAATTTGCATTATACCCCAAAAAAAGAGCCCCAAAACCTATGGCCCTCAATAAAAATAAAACAAACAAAATCCAACAGAACCCAAAAAACCTGTGTAAAGTACCGGTTCTCTCAGCTAACGTGTAATAGTGATATCAAGTTGAAACTGATTAAGTCCCAAGTTTTGTGGTTTGGTTGTTTAATGTGAAGAGTCATATACTATTATATGGTCACGAAGTCTATTATCTGCTGCACATACAAGGATGTAATTGGAGGAACAAAGACAATGACCAGATTTCTGGAGTATTTCAGGGTAATTAGAAGGTGCTAAGTTGGTGATAGCATTGACGATTGGAGACAGCTTCAGCTTTTCAAATCGCTGGTATTTAATGAAACAAGTTGGTCTTCTAAACACTTCAATAGAAATTGAGCTGAGTGATACAGAGAGATGATTACTTCTTCACTGGTAATTTTGACATCATTATCGCGCACAGATAAGCTCTGTATAGAAGTTATCTGTGTATCTAACACAAAGGTAGCATAATTCTCCTGCCATTTAGAAGCCTAAGTCAAGAATAGCTACAAGATTCGCAGCAGAGTATAGCAACTAAAAATCAGACTGAAATCCAGGCCACTTTTTACAAAACCATTCATGCATTGATGTCCTGAATACATACAAACATACACACGTTATTTGGCATTTTAAAAAGCAACACATTGTAAATCTCTGCATTAGTAACTACTTTTGCTGCTATAAAACACAGCTTTTGTGGGGTGTTTCCTGTTACAGTAAAACTGAACTCGCATTTTAAGTGTTAAAAGTTGAATAAAATGTCGCTGACAGTTCAGAAATAACAAAACAGCTGGAAAACACGCATCCAAAACTTCTGAATACTATCTAAACACTCCTCTTGCCAGCATTTTGACTCATCTCTGGAAAACTACCACCCAAAGTGAAAAAAGGTTAAAAGGTTTTAATCGAGGAAAAAAGTTTAAGATGCAACCACGTCTGAAGGTCAAGATCCAAGAAGAAAGTCCATGCTGCATACAGTTGCTCAGAATATCCATCCTTAAACAGGACAGTAGGTGGGAGACAGCTCCTTACCAACCACAAGGACATTTTTCCATAGCAGAAATTATTATTTTTTTATTTTTCTCTTTCATATATGGAATTATTTATAAATTTCTGTTGCAGACAAAACCTCATTAGCCACTCTGTGGCTGGAGTCGTAATCCTTTGGGTCTTTGCACAGTGTTTTCCAACTGCCTTTTACTTGCCCTGGGGTAAAATTAAGTCATTGAATGTTTTGCTGTTGATTTCAGTCAAACCAAGGTCTGCCTTACAATTTGTATCTGTCAATCACTCAACTCATGAATGTCTTCAGATAAAAGAAAAGTAAGAGTAAGCCACACAGAAGTACTTAATGCAAATACTTTAAAGATATTTAAGCTTTTTTAAATGTCCTGCTAGTCAAGTTTTATAAAAAGGTTTCAGAACAATTAATATAATATAACATACATAAGGTGCAGCTGGTGACGACAAACACTTCATTACAGGAAGGATGATGACACAATCACCACTGGATTATTGTTTAAAGACCATTACAGTACAAATAATGTGGAAGGCAGAACCAAATACTCCAAGCTAGTTGCTGCCAGCATTAACTGCCAGTAATTCAGTCTTTATGTAGTTGTAGTTACTCGTTTCTTCCTAGTTGGAAGCTGTTCTACTTCATTGGAAACTTTTCACAAAGAAAAGGCAAAGAAATGTGGATAGTAGTGTTCTTTGACACTAAGACTTCAGTTAAATTAGTGCTTCAAACCCTTTTCTTTCTAAGTAGGTTGAGGTAAGTGTAACCCCTAACACTGGATCGTTTTAAGCTTCCTGTCACCTCGCAGCCTGGGCCCAAATGCTCTGAATGCAACAACAGCAGTCTGTATCCATCCAGGATACAGCTGGATGATACCCCAGGATACAGCATCCACCTGCTCCTGGAGGCCAGGCATGCACAGCAAAATCAGAACTTTGCTGCATTCTGTCTTTCTGCCTCCTCCTCTGCCTGTGAACCAATGACAGCCAACTCTTCAGAGGTTCCCATGCAGAGGTGCCTCCCTCAAAGGCAGTGGATGTGATTTTGCAGCCAGTTCCACCTGCAAAGGCTGCAGTGTTGGAGCATTGTGTAGGGTTGGTCTGTGGATGACAATGTACCCCTGAGCTGACAAGGAGACTGAATTAATCCATTGCCTGGCTCAGGGTTAGCCTGCAGATTCCCTTTGCCATCTCTGCCACAGACCTCCTTTTAAAGAGTGAACCCTGCAAGAGAATATTGGAGTCAGAGCCACTGAGCCCAGGGAACATTACACAGAATTATCTGCAGTGCCGCTAGGTATGTGAAGGGAAAGTATGCTGAGAATAAGAACAGGGCCATGAACTTTAAATACGATTCTTAGGGGAGTGAAGAGGTGAAGCAAAGCTGAAGTTGAACTAATGAGTCAGATCCAGCAGGTGGGGGAGAGCAAGCTAGTGATGGGAAAAAGTCTCTGTGCTGTGGGAGCACAAAAAGTAGTGTTTACACAGGAGGCTTTCTTCAATAACGAGAAAGGGAGAATAGAGAAGTTAGAGAATTACTAGGGACTGGGGGAACAGTCTGAACTGCATTTTTTGTCTTACATTTATCTGCTTACCATGAAGTCAAAGTGCCTTTTGGTGGGAATAAGGCAAGAAGGATTTGCTCAAGGCATTAAAGTTTTGTAAAGGGCAGATTAAATAACAGTGCTCCAAAAATCAATTTTGAGGGGCTTATGAAACCTTGAATGGGCTTTTGCAGCACAAAAGCAAGATTGAGTTTTTACTGAACCTGTCATTTATTTGGGTTTAGAGCTTTCAGTAAGTATCAGAAAAAAAACATAAAACAAAAGCAAAGTAAGCAGTGAGCATTCACACAGAAGTCAAATAAAAAACACGTGGAGGTGCAATCCAGATTACTAAGTGACTTAATTGATGTAAAAGTATAACAAAAGAAAGTCAAGGTTTCGTGTCTGACATCCCCCATCCCCTCTCCTCAAGCTTTAATCAGACCTGGTAGTGAATTCCCACAGCTCTTCTTGGCCAGGAAGTTTTTCCTAAACACTTTCTTCCCTGTTCTCACCAAAAGTTGTGCTGATATACTATCAAGCCACCTGGAAGGAGGAAAAAAAAAAAAAAAAGAAGAAAAGAAAGGAATAAAAATAAAGCAAATAAAGCTACAAAATTCAGTAGAATAGGTACAGAAACACCAAAAGAGTACAATGCAAGTCGGAGTTTGCAGTTAGAAACACAACACACTGGTTACCCTTGAAAACATGAAAATGCTGATGGAACTGCAGCTATTTGTGAAGGTATCTGATAGAAATGATTCCGTTTAACTTTAAGTCGTGATCTAAAGGCGTGGGCTCTGATATTTGCCCACACTGCTAAGAAAAGGGTTGTCAGGAAAAGCCATCCCTGGGTTTGGGATTTTTACTTTAAAAATGGGGTAACACCGCCCCCTAGCCGCTGGTGGGGACAGTGCAGGCTGGCGTGGACAGGGATTCTGCCTTGCAGAAAACAAGGCACAGAATTCCATGGCACAGGAGGATCCAGCAGCACGGAGACTCGATGTGATGCATTACGTAAAAGCATAAAAGATTACCCAAAAAAATGGAATATAATCTGTTAAGTAGTATTAATTCAAATGCCCAGGGAATCTAGAGCAATACAATTCAGATGCTACAACAGCATCATTTGAAACTTCCGCTTCTGGATCAGTTGGTCAGAGCACAGTGCTTTTAAGGCCAGGGTTGTGGGTTTGATCCCATATGGACCATTCATTTAAAAGCTGACTCAGTGATCCTTCTCGATCCCTTCCAACTCAGAATATTCCATGTGATTCTGTGAAATGCATCAGCAGCATCAACCTTTAGCATCCCCTGGACATTGACAGCCAATGTGATTAAACCAAGGCCACATTATGGTTTGGTAACTTGGAACCTTCCTTTTGTCTTAAAAATTCCAGTGATTACTGGAATTATACAGCTTGGGCTAGTGTAATCCATTCGATTCTGAGCCACAGGACAGGTAACCCTACTTTATACTACATAAAATGTCTTTACATTAATGAACCTATGTCATGGTTTTTGCAGAAAAACTAGAGCTAGGAAATTACTTATTCTGATTGTCTATTGCTGTAAGAATATCTGATCCACACTGCTTTAGAAACATAACTACATGAGCATTTCAGACCATTGAAATCAGATGCTTGATCTGAGAAAATCCATGTTAAAATCTGAATGTTGGTATCTTGTATTTGCATACTGCTTCACTTACATGTGGATTCATTTTCCTCCCATTTTTAATTGAAAGTGATGAAAATTCTGTGTATAGAATGGTGTGTAAAGGTGGTGAGATTTTCTGTTCAAACATGCACAGCTCTAGTGGTGGGTATTCAGCTTTCACTGTTCATGCTACACTAGATACACACACACTAACAGAGCAAAGCAAGTTAAATCAGAGAGGAACATTTTGCTTTCACTTACTGTACATGTCTTCTTCTAAATTGTGGAACCAAATCTGCCCTGACACCTGCCCTGTGTAGGGAAGTCAAAAAAAGATGTATGGAGGTTAAAGCCATTTTAGAATTTAGTGACCAAAGGCAAAATTATCATCTTGGATTGTCAAAGCCGTATTTTCTGTACATTTGCTAGAATAGCCCTGACGAGTGAAATAAATTTTTCTCCTGATGGTATCACCAAAACTGTAATTTTATTGGAAGTTTCTCTAAAGGTTAGTGACTCTGTCAGTGTTAATTTCTGTAATCTCTGTTTCATCAGTCTTCCTCTGAGGTAAGGAATTTTGGGGACAAAAAGTCACAAGATATTTATATTGGAGGTGAAAGGATATCAAGGAAAAATGGAAGTGGAAGAAACTAGTGCTGTGAATGCCATGAGAATTTTACTGAGAAACCAAAACTGACTACTCTCAGATACCTGCAGTCACCTGCATGTCACAGTATCTCTACCTTTAAAAGAGCAGCAATATTGGGGGGTTATTGTTTGCTTTGTGGGGTTTTTTTGTGGGGAAGGTGGGGGGGTTTGTGCCTTGTTGGGATTTAAGGAGGGGTTGTGTGTTTTTATAAGTTGCTTTTTGGGTTTGGTTTGTGGTGGATTTTTTTTTTTTATTTGGGGTGGATGGGAAGAGGTATTTGTTGGTTTGTTTACTCAGTTTTAAGAATAGCTGCAAAAACTTCAGAAAAAATGAAAAGACAGATCAGAATTTGAACTCAGAGGTTTAATCATAAAAGGTATTGAATAAGTATGGCATGAAAAGGCAATATTTCTTGAATCAGGAACATCTCCTTAATTAACACTTTTTTTTTGTTTTTAATATAGTTTAGGAAGAACCTTTTGATGAGATAATTCTCCTTTAATCCAATTGATTATCAGATGGGAATAGTGTTGAAAATCAAGACCTGTTTGTTCTATTAGAATACCCCATAATCCCATTACTTGGCTTCTCTGCTACTGCTGCAGAATTCTGAAGGAGCAGTGCACACACCAGAGCAGTGAACATGACAGACTCTGAAAGCCAGAGTCCCAGCTGATGGTATTTGCAGTTTCTTCCCTTTTCTGTGAGCCCTCATTGGATGAATACAGCTCTGTCTGTTCAGGGAATTTCCCTGATTTCATCATGAGATGCACAGTTAAATCTACAGCACTTGTTTTGGATGGATGGAGTTACCTGCTGGCAGCACCAGTAATGGAAGTGTTTTTGCATGTCTGTATCTGTCCTGCAGTTTCAATGGCAGACATAATTCATGTGGAAAACAATGCAGACTTTTAAATTTGATCCTGAAAGTCATTTACATGTATTCTGAATATCCCAGAATAAAGTGCATCCTAACTCAGCAGTAAAAGTATCCACATTTGAGGGACTCCACACTGTCTGTCCCTCTGTGAAGGATATGAATATGGAATTACCATTTTCTCCATACCCAATCCATCCCTGGGAAACATTTCTAAAGGCCATATTTGTGAACTCATCAATGGCTGCAGACAGGAGCAGTTGAGATGTGTGACTCACTTTATAAATGGCAAAAAGACTAGGAATATTCAGCCCCAAGTAAGGAAAAGGAATAAGTTTCTGATGAACTCATTTTCATAGGAATTTCGGAGTTATTAATTTATGAAAGAAGAAAAAACTGTTTGCAGACAAAATGTTAAGATAAAATGTAAATACTTTATAGTAAATTTAAAGCTGTAACAAATTACCTATATGCTCACAGTGTGACCCCTCCAAGTTTTTGACTTGTTTAATTATTCAGTAGAACACTATTTATAACAAAATAATGCAAACTTGTTTAAACATGTACAATGATGGCACCTTGCCAGTATGAAATGTAAGCATGATGTTCACAGAGTTGCAAAAATCCAAAGGAATCGAGATTAATATCATGGTTTCTGAATTTGATTATATTATAATCTTTATGACTGGAGCTAGTCAGAAATTTTTTGGTTTTTTTCTTTAATTCTTCTTATTCTTAAAATATTTTCAATATGGTAAAAAAAAAAAAAAAAAGAGATAGTAGTTGTCACTATCTGTAAGTTCCATGTCATCATCAAAGCCATGCTCTTTCCTGTGATTTTTGAATTTGCCCATTTTTTGCAGAGTTCAATAAAGATCCAGTTAATATTTCAGATATCAAAATTATATTATTTTTATAATTTAAAAGAATATTATTCAACATGTTTATGTGCTTTTTGACACTTGTTCATACCCACCTTTAATCTACGGTAAACAGGTTGAATTAAAGTGATATGCCAACCCTAAAATACAAATAGCACAAATTTCAAAATTATTGATTTCTGACAATGCTTGCAGGCATTAAGCAATACTTTTTCAGACATTTAAAACAGCTCACTTCAGCACAGACACTGTATTGAAGAAAAGCTGAAAATTTACTGACTGCTCAGTCAATATTAATTTAAAATTGAGGTTTAGATCTTGGCTAAAAGTGAAAAAAAATACATTTAAAACTCCTTTTATCCCATGGGATACCCTCTTCCTCAACTCAAATCACCATATTCTTACCATATTTCAAGGTCTCAATCCAACAGTTTTGCAGAGGAATCCAGTATCTTGTAATTACAACGAGCAGTGAAATACTGTGCTGACTCCTTGGAGTTAGAGTTTGCTTTCCATCTTGTGGGTGGGTGGACTTACAAATTCAGCCCCACTCAGGTTTCCTTGAAAGGGAGGTGACCAAACACTTTGCTGCTCCATCTGAGGTGATCTGGGACACTGGTGCAGCACACAAGTAAAATCTCACAAAGGTAAGAGACTTCTGCCAACAGAGGCTGGGGTCTGCTTAGCAGCAGGACTTTGTGGGTATCAGGAACTAAGGCTTGAAAGCACTGATAGTTGTATCACACTTTTCCTGAGGAATAAAAGGAGAATAAATGTTTGATGACAATAACTTTGACAACAACAATAAAGAGGTTAGGGCACGTAAGAGAGAAGTATTATGGTATCTAAAATGCTTAAATGAAATTGCCTTCAAATATACTGTGTTTCTGACCAAAACTTAAAACAAGCCAACTTATAATGACCATCCTGGTTTAGGCCATGTAGAGTTAGTAGCTGTTACAGTGCTGAGTTTGGATTTAGGATGAGAGTAACATTTATAACACACTGATGTTTAGTTGTTGCTGAGCAGTGCTTACACCATACAAGGAATTTTTTTTCTATACCCCATCAGCGAGGAGGCTGGGGGTGCACAAGGAGCTGGGAGGGGTCAGAGCCAGGACAGCTGACCCCAACTGACCACAGGGATATTCTGTACCATGGCCCATCATATAAATTTGGGGGATAGCTGGCTGGGGACTGCTGCTGTGGAACAGGCTAAGCAGAATTCTGTCTGTGGCAAGCAATTGTTTTTCATTTGCATCCCTTATTTTTTTGGGGTGGTTATTTATCTCTTTCTGTTATTTTCCTTTTCATTCCAATTTATTATTCTGATTTTAGTTTTTAAACTGTTCTTTCTCAACCCACACTTTTCTGACTTTCACCTTTCCAATTCTCTCATCCCATTGAGGAAGCAGCTGTGTGGTGCTTAGTTGCTGGCTGGGGTTAAACCACAACAATGACTCAACAAAAGTTTTCTGCTTGAATTTAATCACACAATTTATTGGGGGTGGGGGGAGAAGCTAATTTCAACTGGATTTATGTATCAAAGATGATAATGAAAGGAGTTTAGTTTTATTTTACTGCTGCTCCAGATGGCTCTCAAAAGGGACTGAGAAGCGTGGGAGAAACCATTCTTTGTCTGTGAGGGGTTGAATTTGGAAAGTTCTGTATTCCAGGCAATTGCCAACTATTTCTTACAAGGTTCCATGGCTTGTAACTCTGGGCTCCTCAGAGACAACAGTATGAAGAAAAAAGAAAAACTAATTTGGTGATTTTGCAGTTTGCATCACTAGAAGACAGCTGAGCATTTGTTTAATTCACCGAAAATTACACAAGAGGATTTTGGAGGACTGGCAGGTTTAGAGACATGAATTTTCCATAGATGTCTCAGGCCTAAGGGTAAGGTATGTTAAGGATAACTTACTTTCCATTGAATATTTTTATATAATATTAATATTTATAGTGCCTTTATAAGATTTTTATTATTTGTCTTAAAAGGTCGTTTACCAAAACAAGACACAAAAAACCAGATACAGACTTGATTTGACCTGACTTATGAATCTGCTATTTTCTTTGACAAGAAATGTGAGAGGGAAAGACTGAGTAGCAGTAGATTATACTGTCATTTAGTAACCTGTGTTTTTAAAAAAAGGCAAAAAAAGCCCCCCGTTTTAAACTTCACCCTCCCAGATTGCAAGAGATAAACCTCATCTCAGAACTGACACCACTGCAGGGGTTATGAAAAATGAACTGCATCATTTCAAAGTACACTTATTCAGAATACAAGGAGCAGTATGGAGATAAACCAAGTATCTTGTTTTTATTAGTAAGCAAGAAAGATGTCAACCCAACCACTACAAACACAGATATGGATAATTCACACTGAATTACTCAGTAGATTTTTTATACAATTATGTCCTACGTGGCCTACAGTTTGAAGACCCATATTTGTATAAAAAACAATCCTTAAAATTACATATTATAAATATAGCACATTTACACCCCATCTGATTGTATCCACTTACCTATGACAGGTGAGTTAGGAGCCTAATTGCTGTAGGGCCCCTACACATTTAATGAGATAAAGCACTACCATTTTCCAAGTATTTCTTTCCAGGCAGCAGTTTTTATGTCTTTTTAGACAGTTTATGTTAGAGAGGAATACAATACCCTCAATAAACCAAACTACAATGATTTAGAGAATAAATACTTCCTAATCTCAGTCAGGTGATCAGTTTAATCCTGATCATAGGTTACAGGTAGGTTAAATCCAGTTAACACCTGACTTCCTAAAGAATTGCTCCATTTTTGCCTGCTTCTAATCTTAATATTTAAGAAAGAGCAGTGCCTTTCTCCTATACTGTGCACCAAGAAGGAACATAAAAGTCCTGGGGAACGCAAAATAGAAGGACTGGCATGTGGGCCAGTTAGAAACATTTCTTTTAAGGGACTGTGTAAAGAAAGTACACAAATGAGTTTCCAATTAAGCTTCCCTGGCAATGTCAGTAGGTATCCAAAGTTTTATATCCCACACTTTATATTCTGACACATGATCTCTTCACCATGTCACACATACCCTTTATTAATTTATAAATTTCCATCTGGAAGTAGTTCAAGTCCCTGCCTCCATGACCTTGTCTGTAAGCAGTTCCAGAGCTTTGCACAGATTGCCAAGAACCTTCTTTTAAATTTCTCATTTATTCATAATTGTTTGTAAGTATCTGATCTTGAAATAGTGTTATCCTTTAACACAAAAGTCGTCTTGCCTCACATCTACCCCCACACATACTTATAAAGAAAGCCATATGCCCTTTCAGGCTTTGTTTTGCCAGATAAGCTATTTCCATCTCAGCTGCAAAAACAGGTACAGCTTTCCCCAAACCAGCCCACTCTGCACCTGCTGTGCATCAATGTGGGTCATGAGAACTGTAAACAATATTCTGAGAGTTGTCTTACCAGTGCCTTGTAAAGCAAAATTAACACTTTGTTAACAGCCCTCACTGAAGATTCTTCATCCAATATTCCCTGAAACTGCTGCATGGCCACGACACAACCGTGGCTCATGGTCACACCACAGCTGATTAATGCATTAAACCTCTTCCCCTCACTATTGACACCAATTATCAAGACACCAGGTTATACTAGAAGAACATGACATTAATTCCCAAGCACCTCCCTCTTGTTTCTGTACTATTAGATTTCCAATTGTCAGTCCATGAGGTCATTTATTTTTTTCTGATACACTAGTCATTCCAATTTTGTGTCATCTCTTAATGCCATACCTGTTCTCCTTCCTTCACCAAGCTCAAAAATACTACTTAAATCAGTGCCAAGATCAATCCCAGAGGAATTCTACTAGTGAACTCCTTTCATTTTAATATTTAATTTTTAACAGAACCATATTTTAATATAACCCTTCACTCAGATCCTCTTCCATCTTCAGTGCCTTCATTAAAGCTCATCTTTTCCACTCTCAGTAACTTCTACACCAAACAATATAATGCCTTATTTCAATCAAGGTAGATTAGGTCTACTGCATTACTCTTCTCTGGGACAATTATCTTATCAAATAAAGATATTAAGTTAGTCTGATACAATCCTTCCTTGATAAGACCATGTTGTAGTTTTTCCCACTTTCCATTTACTTCTAGGTTCTTGATAATCTTTTTTTTTCATTCAAAATCTACTCCCTAAGACCTTGCTTGGTGTTGAGGTCAAACCATCACACCCGCATTTTCTTTGACCACCTCTTTTCCTTTTCATGAATAAAGGGAATAACATTATTAGTCTTTAGTTGTATTGAGATAGCCCTGAATTGAACAGATACACATAAAATCCCTACAAATGCATTCAGTGCAAATCAGCATTGCAGGATTCTTCCAATGCTCTGAAATGGGCATTGTTTAGCCCTCTCCATTTTTGGGCAGTAAATAGGCTGATAGCCTATAGCCTAAATTCAGCTGATAGCTCATTTGGGAAAAATTCCATTGTTCTGTGTACCTTAAACACTTTTTTTTTTTTTTTTTTTTTTTTTTTCCCAGCACTGGGAGATCTAACAGCATTCACAACCAACAACAGCTGCTTTGAAATTGGCATTTAGGACACATTTATTTATTTTAGCAGTGGAAGAGCAGGGTTAAAAGCACCATTAACAGTAGTTTCGATATGAGAGATATTTTCAAAGAAAGAGGAATAGGCCAAAACATGCATGAAAATACATATGAAAGCAGTGTGTGTTATTCATTTTTACAAACTCTGCTGTCTCAACTATGGATATTAATTTTGTATTCAAAGAATTGACTTAGTGCAGATATTTTAAATATTCTGATTTATTTTTCAAAATGAGAAAAGAGTAATTATTTTTAAAGGAGTAACATTTTTGCCACTTATTCCGTTTACTTTCCTTCTGTTATCTTCTTTTTCAAAAGACAAGCTGTAAAAAGACAAACCCAGCAGAATTATTTATATACTTTTCACACAATCTGTGAATTGACATGTTTAATGCTTCTGGAAAGAAGCGACTGTAATACAATGCAAATTATTAATTTATGAATGTGGCACAATTGATAATACATGCCTACAGCAGCTGTGACTTTCTACTCTACTTGAATGGAATGCTTTTATTATCCTGCCTATGCTCTGAGTCCTGGCAGATGTATGCAGATGTGTGCCATGGAGCCTTTGAAAATTTCAGGATTAAAGGTGGCTAATCTTCCAGAAGCTTCAATGGGAAAGAATATGGAAGGGATAGAAACTAAACTCTGGGTTCTCTTTTTTTTTTATGCCACCTTTAAAAAAGATGAAATTACAGCATAACACCAGGATCAATAGGCAATAAAGTTTATGTAGTGTTATTTATTATTGTTAAGTCTTTATTAAATATGTACCTTCTGCCTGCAAAGGGCTGTGCAGAATGAAGAGGGCCCAGTTTTATAGAGATACAGTTATAAGACTGGATTTTACAAAGCAGCTTGTAAAACCTGCAGGTAAAACATACATTTTCCACAATACCCTCAAGAAAGAAGTATTCTGGAAACTGCTCAGGATATTTTGAGGCAGTAGGGACAATGACTTTTTTTTTAAGAATAAATGATTAGAATTGAAACTTTCTTAGAAAACAGTTTGTCACTAAAAAATACCATCTGGCCCTATTTTGAGAAAAGGTTTTATGAGACCATGCAGCTTCCATGCAGCTAGTTTCCAGATCCAGGGTCTATGTTTTAGTCAAACTCAGACAGCCTTTCCTCAAAC